ACTTTGTTAATATCTTCTTGGTAAAGTCTTCTTCAAACTTTCCTGGCAAGATTGTTTTAATTCAGCAAGCATGGACTTTCTAATGTGATTGGCCTGTTTGAAGTCCTTTCACAGATTTGAGTCCATACTTCAAAGCTGCAGTGTCTATCTTTTAACTTTTAAAACATTTTTATTTTACATATTTGTTAAAACTTTCACCGTGTTGTGACAGTAAAATACAAGACAGAACATCTGTGATAAAATCTGGATTCTCTTCATGAACCTGCTGTCACCTGAACAAACACACTGCTCTGTCAGAAACAACCAATCACAGCCAGGTGGACGTTCTTAGTGTTGTCAATCAACCCCATGTATGCACTCCTCACAACCTCCCCCTTCCTCTCTGCTACATTGTACCTGGTTGCCCAAAACAGAATCTGCCATGAATGGATGCTCAGGCTAGTTAGCATGATAACAGAAGATAAACAGTTTTCCTGGAGCGGTAAGTTGTTTGTCTGCCTTTAGCATGTTTAGTAGTACATACCCGAGATTGATTGACAGTGTTAAGACTCTCCTTCTGACTTTGACCAGGAGCAGAGCATACCTTCAGATCAACCAAGTTTAGTTGGATAGCACATTTCAGCAACAAGGCAGTTAAAAAAACATAAACATGTCATACAATCAACAGTCAAGAAAAGCAGTAACAGACATTACATTTTGTCAAGTGCCATCATTCAAATCATCAGCACACATCAAATGTGTTTGTTAATATTCTATTTATTATGGTTCAAAAGCAGCTCCAACCAGGAGGGGTTTTAACCTAGTCTTAAAGAAACTCAATGTTTCAGCTATTTTTCAGTTTCTGGCAGTTTGTTCTGCTGCTTTTCCATATTTGGTTCTGGTTCTGGATGGAAAACAGAACCAGAAGACCAGAGAGGTTCTGGAAGGTTGATACAACAGCAGCAGATATTTAATATATTGTGCTGCTCAGCTGTTCAGTGATTTATAAATCACATCAGTATTTTAAAGTCTATTCTCTCAGTGAAGGACTGTAGAACTGGGTGATGTTTTCTATCTTCCTGGTTTCAGTCAGAACACCAGCAGCAGGCATGGTTCTGGATCAGCTGCATCTGGAGGAGAGATTTATTAGGTTAATGTGTGCAGACACTGTTGCAGTAATTGGTGACTAAAGATAAACATGTGGATGAGTTTCTCTAGATCTTGCTGAGACATTAGTCCTTTAATCCTGTCCTATAAAAATGTTCTTCAGTTGACAGAAGGCCAACTTTGTAACTGTCTTTATTTGACTCTGAAGGTTCAGGTCACATGAACCACAACAACCAGATTTCAGACCTGATCACTAGTTTCTAGATGTAATAACTGAAGCTATGACTCTTGATCAGTCCAAAGATAATAACTTCAGTTTGTTTCTGTTCAGCTGAAGAAAGTTTTGGCACATCCATACATTTATTTGTTCGAAGCATCTGTTCAGGGCTTTTAGGTTGGTTCAGTCACCTGGTGACATGGTAATGTAGAGCTGTATGACATCTGCTTGGTTACATATAGATAGTAAATAAGAAGAGTCCCAGGATTGAACCTTGGGGTACCCCATATATGACCACTGAGAAGTTTCCTATTGAAACAAAGAAATCCCTGTTCTTTATGTAAGACTCATAACCAACTGAGTACTGGACCAGAGAGTCCAACCCAACTCTCCAGTCATTCCAGTAATATGTCGTGGTCAACAGTGTTAAATACTGCGCTGAGGTCCAACAGATCCAGCACTGTGGTTCTTCCACAGTCTGTATTTATGTGGATGTCATTGAACAGTTTGACGAGGGCTTTGTGGTGAGCACGGAAACCGGACTGAAAGACGTCAAAGCGGTTGGTCATCGTTAAAATACTATGTAACTGTTGAAACAAGATGGCAGGAGAAGCACTGGGGGGAGGTGCTACTGCTGGAGCTCCATCTGTTCACAGATTTTCTGTCTCATTACAGTCTGGACATGGGGATAGTTTTAATAATTATGTAAAAAAAAAAAAAAACATCACAGCAAATAAACAGTTTGAAAAAGCTTTAAGAAACACCCATTGGGTCATTCAGAGGTGGACCTGCTGCTGCAGTCCCTCAGTGAGCTTATGCTTGAAGGCCTAACCTCTGGTCAGACATTTACCTCCAGACTTTCTAGAGAGCAGAATTTATGGTTCCGTCAATGAAGTAGCAAAGTAGCCCCAGACCGTCTCACTACACTGTTAGACAGTGTGATGTTCTTTTTCTAAAATACAGTTTTATTAGCTGGCCTTTGCCTCCTTAAGTATTTCTGCTTGATTCTCATGTCTCCTCAGTGCTCCGTCTGGGATTTCTCCCATTGAGATGAATTTCTCTGATGTTGATTTTCTACTATAGTCTGCCTGTAATTTGGCAATGGCAGCGGACAAAGAGAACGACACCATTCAGTCCATGTTGGCCACACTTCCACAGTATTGATGACTTAAAGTCAGGTCACTGCTGGCAGAAGAGACATTGGGCTTGAGACTTCTGTCTTTGCAGTGTGGGGTGGTTGTTCCACACTGTACAGTGTTGACTGTTTGTGTTTAAAATATTAGCGAATTTGACCAATCACTAACATTTCCAATCGATTCAGTCTTCAGCAGAGGCTTCCAGGAAGCCCAGACCCTCTGCTGGAAGAAAAGCGTAGAGCAAGGGGTTTCTTGTTGCCAGGATACTGTTTTATATCAGATGTGACAAAACAAGCACCTTCCAAATAGTTCCACATCCCCAGTCTCTCTCCATCATGTTGAATCCTGATGAACTCTGACCTTAACTGACGCAGTACAGTCATTAACAGTCACCAGAGACTAGATTATTTTAACCCAGACGTCACAATCTGTTGATTTTAGGTGCATGTAAAATATCTTCTAGTAAAGATATTTACTAGAATATCTTTATTCAGGGAATAAAATAGGTAATATGTAAAAAGTAAAAAGTAGATAAGTGGTGAGTAAATAACACAAGAAATGTAATATACATTGTTCTATTTAGTTTAAATGTTTCTAAAAGACTTGAAGAAAAACTGCAGATCAGCCCTAAAATAGTTAATGGAACCAACTTTTATTTTATTTCATATTTATTTTTGTATACAAAACAAAACTAAATATGTTTAATGTCAAAACATAAAAATGTTAAGATATCCATAAGCCATTATGTTAACTATTTAACATAATGGCTTTAAGACGAGTGTCTAGAGACTCTAGAACAACCCTGACCTTCCAGTCAAATTGCTCAATTTATAGTCAATAAATATAATGATTTTTTTTTCTTAGACGTTGCACATCTGGACAAACAAAATCCACAGGGAGGAGCCAGGAAGACCTGTAGAGCCCAGGATAGAAACGAGGAGAACAACGAGGAGACCGTCGGGTCAGTGAACGCAGACACAGACTCCTCCACCAGTGACGTCTTCTGATCAGATTCTCATTATTTCCTTCTCTGAACTCCATGGAATCATTCCCTGCAGCCTTTAATTGTTGTAAATTTGAGTGATTGACCGTTTTAAATGTTGTCGTGTTCTTTCAGATTAAAAGTTACATATTTTACTTTTAATACACATTTCGTTGTCTTTCACTTATTTTACAAAGTAGTCAGGAAGTAAGAGTCAGATTTAGTTTAAAGGAACTTCTGCATTTGGTCTGGAAGTGAATGGATCGTCCCAGAGACAAGATCTCAGCTTTCTACACAGCTTGTGTCAAAGGAGTCATTTTAAAAGCTGCAGCATGTTGACAAAATGTGTTGCGAACATGATGATGATGATGATGATGATTTTTCATCCACAAAATCCTTAAAAGAGAAAAGAAACAACACAACAAAACCATGTTCACAATAAACAGACTAGCGTTTAATTAGGAAGCTGATGAGCAGGAAGTGAATGATGTTAAGTGACACAGAGACCTCATCCTGATTAGACCTTCAATCCAAGAAAACACAGGAAGAGAAGAGCTATTGATCAGACAGTTGATTGGTTCCCTGAGGTCCTGTGTGTCTGTGCAGAGATCGATGTTCTCACAAACCAGGATTAAACATAATGAAGCAGAGCAGGATGAACTGATCTCAGGCCTACAGAGCTCTGCACATGTTCAGCAAAACAAAGTGGAAACTCAAGCGCATGCAAGTCGGAAAGAAAACAAGTCTTAGAAGCGAGTTCAGGTTATACGCTGAGATCCCTGAAGCTGTATGAAGACCAGGCTTTATGTCGCAGCTCACTAACAGCTACATGTAGCTACAGATCAACGTCCGAGTTGCTTTTCCTACCAAATGTTGAGGGGAAAATAATTGCTGCACAGTTGCTGTTTCAAAAGAAGGGAAACTATTTTGGAGTTAGGTTATAGCACATTAAGCTTTGCTTTTTAAAGTGAGATTTTTCTCTCCTTACAGAAATTTAGAAGGCAAACCCTGCCAAAATTGGCAAATAATATGCCTGATATTCCATCAAAATAATAACGTTCCCAGGTTATTTGATTACATGGTGTGAAATAAATGATCATTTGGCGGTAGTCAATGTTTAATTTTATTTTCAAAGTTGATAACTTCCATTTTTGTTCATCTATTTTTCCCCATTTTTCATATTCTGAAACTATATTTACTGTCACATTGTTTCATTTCTGACTTTCTTTTCTTTTTCTGGCTTTTTTTAAAAAATTTACTCACTTTTTATTTATTATTTTCTCGTATGTTTTCTTTTTGCATTTTCTCTCCTGTTTTCTTCTTTGTTTGTTTACACATTTCCTCATTTCCTCATGTTCTTTTTTACTTTCCCTTCTGTGTGAGACATGAAGGGAAGAAGATTGAAATAAAAAACTTTTATTTAAAAAAATACCGCCTTTTGTTTTATTTTATTTTGATGTTCTTGAGAGCAAAACTGCTGGTGACATCAGCTTTATGGGCGTGTCAGTGTGTGAGGGGGCGGGGCTTAGGGAGGTCCACCAGGCGTCGGGCGTCAGAGTGCAGAGCTGCTGGAGGATCCTCTGCGTGGAAGATGCGACTCTTCCCCCCGTGGTTTCCCCGGTTCCTCCCACGCACGGTCCGCGGGCATAAAGGGATCCACTTGATCCCGCGTTCCTGTTAGATCACCAGCTGGTTCGGGATCTGCTCGGGTTCATGCATCGGGTCTCGGCAGCTCGGTGAGTGTCAGTGGGTTACATTTCCCCCACACACACCACCGATGCTGCAGGGAGCAGACGGAGCCACAGCCGCTGGACATGCCGTTATTTGCAGCCTCTAGGCGGGAGGGAGACGGCCGCTGCGGCCGGCACAGGGCGCCGTCGGACGGGGAGCGGCTGCGCTCCGTGCGGGAGCGGCTGGAGCTCATGGTGTCGGTGCTGGGAGAGCTGGAGTACCTGCGGCACCGGCAGCAGCTGCTGGTCCTGAGCGTCCTGAAGGAGGCGCGGAGCGATGCTCAGCTGAGCTGCGAGGAGAACATCCTGGTGCTGCGGAAACAGCTGGTAGGTCCAAACGGTCCGGACCGCAGAGAGGCTCCGATAACCAGCAGGCTCGGCTCAGAAGGACAATAGATCATCCATCGCTTTGTGCCTTTTAACTTTACCTGTTTGCAGTTTTCTTTTCCGGGATCTTAAAGCTTCAGATTTTATTAAAGCATGCTGAACATCATTTTTCCCAAATTTCTTAACAGATATCTTTCTTTGTCTTTTGGTAAGAGTTTGAGTTTGTTGTGCATTTTTTGTTTGTTTTATTTCTCCAAACTCAAGATTCATTTTGCTTTTATTTCCCAAAGTTTAGGCCTTCCTCTGGTTAATAGGCTTGATAAATCTTTGCTGAGGTTAGAAAACTCTGCAGGCTGGAACAGCAGATCAGTGTCTGAATGCAGTGGTGCTGCTGATGGAGGTCAGGCGAGGAGCTCCAACCATCAGCTGCTGCTCCTCCACATCCACCGGGTTTCAGAAAGCATTGCACAGCAAGGAGAATCTGGGACAGATTCAGAACCGTCACAGTCCTCTAATCAAACCAGGAATCCCATGACCCAACACCAAAACTTCTGAGTAGAAGCTTCTTAGTTCTGTCTCTGTTTTCAGCAAATCTCATTTATGGTGTTACATCACAAAGATAATCCCTCCCCCAAGTCTGTAAGGACAGGGAGGCTGATCATAAAGTGGCAGCTGGTAAACAAATTGTCTGAATGTTTGTCCTTGTAAACAGAACTGATTGACTATCAACAAGTTAAATCTCTTAAAGGGGCAGCATCGTGTAAAATGAACTTTTCTGAGCTTCACATCATGTTACAATGTCATTCTAAAACATACCTGGAGTGTTTGTTGGTTTGATTCTTTGAGAAATCCTTTCATTTCCATCACTCATCACTCAGCTGTGTAAAACGCCTGGGTGGACCCAGCTTCACCTTCGGAGCTGCAGTCTCCAAGCTTCCACCTCACAGAGCAGCCGTCCCCTGTGACTCCTCCACTCAGCTCCTTCAGACTAGCTAGCAGCAATTAGCAAACATCAGGTGGAGCTATGTGTCATTGTAGGAGCTGCTTCTCAGTGTGATGCTGTTAAAAACTTTGGTAAAGGGTTAACAGAGTAGCCATATTGTGATGATTTCCTGAAGGTGGAGTTTCAGAAAAGCATGAGCTTCTTAAAGAGACACATTCCCAATTTCAAGGAATTGAATATTGAAGTAAAAATTCTTTTAAGTCTTTTTAGTATGTATAATATTTTTCTAACAAATGAAGTTAACATAGTTACTTGATTGTCCTGTGAAATATTATGTGTCTGTAAAATACATAAAATTGACCGTTAGCGATTATGAAAACTATTCTCCTGTGGGTGAGAATAGTTTTGTTTCGATGTTATGTATTTGATAATGGCGTTCTGCACAGGATCCATCTCAAGCTGGCAGAGATGGTCATGAACTGTAACATTTGTCGTGCTGTGAAAGAGTCTGAGACGGACCTAGTGGACGGGTTCATTACCGGGGAGACTGTCCACTGCTCCAAATGTTCCCCGCTGTAAAACGGTGAACTTTAAATAGTTTGTAAATGTCCCACACACCCATCCATCAGTTGCAGCAGTCACTGGGTGAGAACAAACACATCCTGGTCAGGAACTTTATCTTGTCTACTTTGTAGTTCTGGGACTGTCCTCTGCCGTCCTGCTGTCCACGTTGTTTCTGCCATCCGGGTCTCAGTTCATTCCAGTGGGTTTGTCTTACTGAGCGTGTCAGCTGTGTGTGTTTTTCTCCAGCAGCTGTTTGTTGTTTTTAGGATTGAATGTCTGAATCTAACTGGATGAGCATTATCAGAGAATGTCTGGTATCTCATCAGCTCGTTTCTGATTTGCGGGTCTTCCTTGCCTTCCTCGCTCTCTGCTGGAGTCTGGAGCCGAATGTGGCTGTTAAAAAGCACGAAGAGTTTGTTGCTTTTGTTGCCTCTGTTTTGTATAGTTTGTGTGTAACGGGATGAAGGGTGTAGAACACAGTCTGTGGTTCATATTGTAGGACTTGATCAGTTAATTTTCCCTTTTCTTCACTGCTGATTCAGTCATATTTTCATGAGCGTTATGTGTTTTCCATAATCTGTCCGGATGCTGCGACTCCTCGCTTCTAGATCCACTTTTTCTGTTCCTCAGAGTCAGGTCAACACTCTGAGGTTACACAAATATAACGTTGACATTTGTACTTTCATTTAGAATCTTCTGTATCAGCATTTTTATAGAATTGAAACATTTCTTTTTACCATCTGTCTCTAGTGGTCAGATGAACCACAAAGACTTTTCTGGCATTTGAGTGATTCCAGGATGATGGAAGTCCGCTTCAATCAAAGTCTGACTAGTTGTTAGCTTCAGACTCAGTAACCAGCTAATCTGGGTTCAAACTAAACACAAACAACAGAAAAAACAAACATGGAAGAGTTATCTGATTTAATGAGGTATGAAATCATGCATGAAGCTGTTTCTGAACTGGAGAGCTCTAACAGACTGCTGCATCCTAAACGCACAGAGGAGCATTAACATGGCTCCTTCCTCCAAGCAGCTGTTCCATCACTGCTCCCAACAAACTAAGTCAGTGTTTACATTCTGCATTTCACAATTTTACTCATTCAAATAACCTTTCTCCTGGTAATGGCACATTTCTGCTTGTACAGTTTTATTTTCATATATTGAAAACAGACTATTTTTTGCACAAATACACAAATTCTCATTTTGGGCTTTTTTTTCAAAATGATTCTATTTAATCACATTCCTTTGGATCAGAGCATGCTATGTTTAGATACTTTTATCTTTGTGTTGCTTGATGTTCTGTCACCGCGCCTGAATTTCCCCAATGTGGGACGGTAAAGGATATTTCTATTCTATTCTAACAACTTCCTCCCTCTGAACAGACCCTTCCCTCAACTTTCTTTAAGTTTGAATAAAGATAACAGCCTTTCACACCAGCATATTTCCCATTAATACAAAAAAACTTCAAAAAACTCTTGTCAGAAAATCAGAACGTGTCTTCTTTCTGCTGTTTTTATAACTGGCCACTGAACAAATCTAGTCCAGAGTTAAGAGTCACTCCTGTAACTTCGTCAGCAGAGCAGAGTCGTCTCCTCTGACATGTATCGGTGCTTCTGCTCTCGGTGAGCTCTGGAGGTAATGTGTTGTTGTTGTTGCTGCTGGAGGAGTCACGAGTTCAGCAGCAGCAGGATCATGCAGACTGGTTGCCATTTTCTTTCCCAATTACAAAGTGTGTCCCTCGTGATGCCTGCAGCGTGTCCTGTTGTCAGAGCACAGCTAGTTCAACTCAACATGGAGGAAACTACATTCATATTGTTTTCATCTTCAAAACAGATATTAGACATTCATATTTTACACTGTTTTTTTTTTAAACATGTCAGTATTGGAATCAGCACATCACTACTGATGAACTGGTGAAAAAAGCACAACGTCTTGCAGTATTGGTACGTCTTGAATCTTCATGTCGCAGATCAACATAGAGAAGCACAGAATTATTGGGTGGAAGGCAATGATCAATTTTGTTTTCAAATAAAAATCTGAGAAGTGCGGTGTGCACTTTTATTCAGTCCTTCTGAATCAATACGCTGCCTTTCTCTCCACTTATAGCTGAAACATCCAGCTTTAAACATAATTCTTTGCAAAACAGTTCAAGCATGGTCCGATTGGATGGCGAGCATCCAAGAACAGAAATGTTCACCTCATGCCACAGATCCACTAATCAGATGTAGATCTGGAGCATTTTAACAAATGATTGTGTTTTGTTCTGCACCAGCTCTGACTGCATGAACCTCCTGACCCGTTTCAAGTTTCTACTGACGCTCCTCCTGTCAGGTTCTGTGGGTGGACAGTCTGTCCTGCTGCTCTCCGTGTCCAGATGACGGGTTGATCAAAGCTCCTAAATGTTCAAACCTAGGAATGCGACTCTAGACCGAACTCTGCTTTGAACTTCTTCAGGACTTTCTCCCGGATCCGCTGCTTGTTTTCTAGCAAACCTCTGAGGCCAGAAACGGAACCGCTGCATCTAGATTTAGATAAAATGACCCACAAATGAAGTCTAGCTACTAATCAGCAGATGTTGTAGGGCCATCACTTGTTCTAGATTTTATGTGTATCAGAGTAAATCGGGATGAGAATAAAAATGCACACCACAATGTAGATTTTATTAGCAACTCTTACATGACAACAATCTGTTTTCTTTCTATGTCACAGTTCAGCAATGCTTTCTGCAGATACGTTTTGAAATCTGAGTGTAGGACTGACCCGTTTGAATTTTGAGCTCTGCGTTCTGCTCAGTGTGAGTTGCTGTCTAGTATGTGATCCACAGAGGCAGCAGTCTTTCTGTTCGTTTTTCATTCAGCCCTCAGTGGACTGAAGCAGGTTCACACAGGATATTGGATCAGATGCTGTGGTGGTGGGCGGAGCCTGAGACTCGTGCTTCAGTGTTGGTTTGGCTGTGTGCGCTGACTCTCACCAACATAATGCATCCACAGCCTGAACCTTTAGCTGAAAACAGCTCAAGTTCCTACATACTGTCGCGCACCAATAATCCCTCGGATTTGAGGTCGTTTCCATAGAGACCTGCTGCTATTAATGATGGTGGATCGGTGATCAACCAGCAGCTGTGTGCTTCAGTTTCTCTGCAGCCGCTCAGTTGTAGGAATTTGGCACATGACCTGCAAGCAGAGCTGCATAGCCCACATGTTTTCCATCCCACAGCGGCGGGGCGGGGCCGCTCCAGACTGTGTGTGTGTGTGTGTGTGTGTGTGTGTGTGTGTGTGTGTGTGTGTGTGTGTGTGTGTGTGTGTGTGTGTGTGTGTGTGTGTGTGTGTTCACCGGCCTCACTGCACAATGTAGGGCAGATTTAGCAGGACGTTATCGTCAGGCTTTGTCTTTACTTTTTTGCCAGAATGAGCCACTCGAGAATGTGACAGAGTCGATAAAAATGAAAAGCAACATTGAGTTTGCAGCTGAGTTCGCAAAACATTCACACCTGCAGCTTAAGTGTGTGTCTGTAGTCTTAACGTGTGTATCTGCCTCTATCTGGGTCCACATAGAGGGACATTGTTAAAGACCAACATGTGTCCAACATTCATAAGGCTGTAAGCCATGTTTAACTATGGAGTGTAAAGAAATGTTAGATCTCAAACAGTGCAAAGTAAATCTACAAGGTTGTTTTATTCAGATTCTCATCTTTTTTCTCCTGTTTTTACAAATTTGCAAAAGTTTCTTGCACAGATCAGGTTGTCTAGCACAAAATCAGTAAAATCAGCTTCCATCTGTGTATTTAGCCAGTTTAGGTTTCTTTGGGTTTTTTTTTTTTTTTACTAATTTTCTAGATTTTAGACATGGAAATGATCAAAATATTCTCCATCAAACCTGGTTTCAGGCTTATGGTTGCTTAACAAGAAGAGAGGACGGAGCCTGAACTGTGTGTTTGTGTCTCAGAGCTGTCTGAGGCGGGACGCCGGAGTCATCAGCGAGTTACATGAGCTGGACCAGCAGATCAACGAGCTGCGACTGGAACCGGAGCCGTCACATGACCAACTGGAGACCGACAGCCGGCCCAGCTCAGGTAGAACCCCACACCACCTTCAGCACTTTTATCATCATGCGATACGCATTGGCCTGTCACAATAACAATAAATTGTCCCAGAGCTTGTTTACAATAAAAGATAACATTGTTGTTTTGAGTAACAATGGAAGAATAATTCAAGAACACAGTCTCAGAGATCAATAAACATTACATTCTGATGAACATTAAACATTGGAACTGGAAGACATTTTAAATATTCCAAATAAATAAACAAAACAACAGAAACGACAAATAAAATGAATTCTGAATTCTCTGTAGACAAAATTGTCTTTCAAAAAGGGATAATTAAAAGCAAAACACCAGACTGAAGAGCAGTTTTGGTGAAGAGAGAGAAACGATAAATCAAGCAAATGAAAATTATTGCGTTTGCTTTAGTTTTAGCATGCGATGAATTGATTTATTGTTTATTGTTACAGGCCTAAATACAAAACCGTTTGGATTTCAGTAATGAACCGGATAAAAACCCAGAAGGATTTATTGTTTCACTGCATTTTTGCAAATCTGATTTTGAAATTCTGAATAATTTCTGTTATTTTTTTGGAGGGGGAAAAAAATCTAATTCTGTGATGAAATGTATATTAATATCAGACAATAACTCAAAACTCAGAAAAAAAAAAAGAGATTTATAAATATTTTTACTTAATTTTAACAGAGATCCAGATAAATTCACTGGGGTTCCAGGTGACTATTTGGTGACTCCATTTTGTTCCTGAAAAGATATAATACAATCACATACTCAACTAGTGTTTATTTTTTAAAAAGTCCAAAAATATTAGCACAGTTTACCCATGCTAATTTTACTTGTGTAGTCCAGTATCTGCAAGAACTGCAGGAAAAAGAATCTTTGGGCCCCCAAACACGTAGAGCCATGGCTTCTGCTCTCAAGGCCTTTCAAACGTCTGGACCAGAATACAATTGATAGTGAAGGTTGAAGTTAGACTGTGAACAGATAAAATAGTAGAATATCTATCTTCACCACATGATTGGCGATGACGGGGTCAGTGCTCTGTCCTCTTGCCAGTTCAGAGCAGATTATGACCTTTGACCTGTTCTCTCCACTAGGGTTCTATGAACTGAGTGACGGGGCCTCTGGGTCACTCTCCAACTCGTCTCACTCAGTCTTCAGCGAGTGCTTCTGTTCGACCACCGACGCTGAAGGATACTTCCTGTCTACAGGTACTTTGTCTCAGTCTGAACAGGAAGTCATCGCACAGTCAGCAAAAGGTTTTCTATCAGCGTTAACATCATACCTGAGTGTAACCACACACACTAACAGGAAGAGGAGAGTTGTGTGTGAAATCCCAGTAACATTCTCTGAGGCTTGTGACAGAATATCAAATTTCAACCATTCCAGCCTCCCTGCTGGTCAGTGGATGTTGACCTCCTTCAGCCTCTCAGATTGTACATGGACAACAAGCTTCAGATGAAGCGTCTCTATAACATGGTCAAGGAGGAGTCGCTCTGACCGTGGAATGACACCTGTTGTTTGGACAGCTGTGCTTTTAAGAGACTTTCAACGGGGTTCTGCTGTCAGGCCACTTGCTGCCCCACTTTGTTAAGTTTCCTGTTTGAAATAAAAAGCACAGGTTAGAATTTCTCAAAGCGGCGTTCTGGTGAATAGCAGTAGAAACTGTAGAGACGCCGGCAGCTGGTGTGAGAGAGGCTAAAAACAAATCTGCTGCATTCTCTGATCTTATCTCTGATGTCAAAGCGTCCTGCATGTTCACTCTGCCAGCAGATTTTCTGCACATTACGCATTTATTTATGAAGAAGAATCTCTGTGGGATATTGAGAGGGCTTGACAATGAATCAATAGAATACAAATATTCTTTATTGTCCCTTAGTGGGGAAAATCCAGGTGTAACAACAGCAAAGTAACAGGACATCAAATGATGTAGGGTCACACCAAGATAAAAGTACTAAAAATATTTTTTAATAGTGCATCCTCTGATCCGAAGGACTGTGCAGTTGCATAGGATCATCTTTTTCATTTACATTTTGAACGATTTTGAAAAAAAATAACCATATACTGCACTGTAAGAATGAAATTACATTGTGACATACTGTGCAATTATCAAAAACAGCAAACTCCAATCCAAAGAAACGTGCAACTGAGTAGAACATTGTTTTTTTAAATATACAAAATGTGGATGTATTTTTATGAATTTAAAATACAGAGTATTTACACTATCATCACCTTCTTAAAATAAAGTATTCTTTTTCATTGTTTTTGCAAAAAGTCATTTTGGCAGAAAAATCACCACCTGTTTCTTCCCAAAATATGTTTTAGACAAAAAAAAAAAAAAACACTTTTGGCGAAAAAGAAAGAAAGAAACACAGAAAAGCGATGCTGCATGAAAATAAAACAGAGATGAGTCAAATCTAGCAGAAATGTTCTGTGAACCACTTCCAACACCTGGATAAATGTAAATACATGTTGAGTTTGTTTGGAGCAGTGATGGCTCCAGAGGAAGGATCTATGATATCGCTCCTTTGTGCTGCTGGGATGCAGCAGCCAGTCACTGAATGCTCACAAATAAATATACAGAAGACTGAAATGCTTAAACACATGTAGAATTATTAGTGTTGCCACAACCGCTTTGTGCAGAATGTCTGAAGTAAGGTAGAGAGATATTTTTATCTGAAAGGTTGTTATGTTGCAGAGAAGAACTTGTAGTGGGGGAGGGGAGTTAACACTGCAAATACAGTTTTTAAAGTCCAGGAAAGTAAATGATGATATCAGAAGTGTTCCCCCTGTTTACGTCTTCCCCAGCAGCCAAAGTCCAAGTCGGGTCACTGAAAAAAACATTCCGTCAGTAAAAGCATCTCGCCTGCGTTGTTGTTGGTCAGGAATATTAAGCCTAATTGAACATTTGACCAATTAGAGTTAACATTTTATCAACAGTTTTATTCATATTTTAATATTCATTATAACATGCAAGGAACTGTTAGAAGACCTTCCAGATTGTTTTGACAAGTGCTAAACCATATTTACTGAGTTAGAAATGTAAATATGCATTTAAGACAGAAAGATTCATATAAATTTAAGTCACATTATTGAATCATTCAATAATAGTGGATTAATCTGAGAACAGTGTGTACATCAGTAATGAGCGAAGTCCTTTCAGACATAAACTCTGACATGCATGAAGAGAACGGCGTGCACACACAGGGTTAATATTCCCAGCACTCTGTCTCCACTGAAAGGAATTTTCCACTTACTAATGCCTGAGTGTTCAATCTGCAGCCTAACCAAACAGAGTCAAACCTCACTCAGCCTCACTCAGCAGACCATTAGACCCTACTTCCTGCAAGCTGTTGGCACTCAGCAGATCAGCAGCATGAAATAAACTCACAATAAGTCAGACTGTCTGTGTTTGACACTGTGTTCAATAGTTCTCAGTCGTTGAACGTGTCGACATTCACCATGATGCACGCCATGCTGTGATGGTGAATAACTTGCAGCTGTGTTTGATTCTGCCTCCTTTGTGTTCTGAATGAATAAAGTGAAATTATTTCTATTTTCAGAGGAGCTGGCCAGCTGTTTGGAGTATGACGTGCTGGTTGGAGGATTTTATGACGACTTGGGTTCCTCTGGCGTTGTCCGCCGCTCACTGTCTGCTCCTCACCAGGCTTCTCTGGAGGCGACGTCACTGGCTGCCACCGACTCCCCGTCTAAAAATCTCTGCAATTTTTTCCCCAGAAACGCAAGTGACATTTACAACTACCGAAACCCGTCACACGCTGCAGCTGTCCAAAGCTCTGCGCTTCTGCAGGTGTCTGGTGACGGAGGTCAGTCCACACATGAAGCTGGTGGTGAATGTCTCAAAACAGAAACCTTCCTCATCCTCAGTTCTGCTTCAGGGACCCTGAGACCTCAAGGCTCCACTTTCCAAACCCATTCCAGTAAACACCTGGAGAAGTACATCTTTGGTCTGCTGCAGCGGAGGGCCCAGCCCATTAGGGCCAACAGACCCAGGACCAACATCAGCACGGACCCTCTGAAGGGCGTCGTCCGTCAGCCCAGTCTCTCTTTGAGACAAGTATCTGCTTCCTGTTCTGGTGCTGAAACTCTGAAAGGGTCTGAAATAAAACCTGTGATCCCGGCTGGAGAAACCTCAGCAGAAGTCATTAATGTCTCATCTTCTCTGAGGCAAAGCGCTTTAGAATGCAAAAATGAAGAGAAGGGCACTCAGAGAGTTTCTCCTGATGATACTGACGTCATGAAAATCAGCTCCAAGATCAACAAAGACGACTCAAACTCCAACCAGCAGAACAATTGTTCTGTCACCAGTCGGGTCAAGAGCACCAGCACAAAGAGACTCATTAGCAAGACGGGCAAAGGGTCTCTTTCGCTCTCAGGTGCTTCTGTCCCAAATCTTCTCGCAGATAACACAGTTCAGAGAAGTCCAAAATGTAACTCCTCTGACAAAGAGACGAGTCAGCCACGTTGCCCTGTTGACCAAGAGCAGATTGTTAAATCAGTTCTAACAGCTAAAACACAGACTGGTGCTTCCAAGAAGCTCTCCAAGCCTGGACAGAGCAGCCCACCAGAGGAGAACAAGTCAGAGCTGGTCCATTCCAGTGCAGAACCTTTTGCTCAGAGTCATGATGAAGACATAAGAGTAGTAAGAAGAAGTCACATGGGGAATGGCAACCTGGCCAAGCAGCATAACGGTAAACACCGCAAAGGCAACAGCAGGAATGTTAAGATTACCAAAGTGAAGAGCACCAGTAGAACATCCACCATGTTGGCTTCTGAGAGTAAGGAGGTGCCTTCAGAGAAAAAAGATAAGTTCTGCTTGAACCCAAACAGGGTTCTTCAAGTAGACGATGGAAGCTCCAACCACGTCAATGTGTCCAACAACGGAACTTCACCAGGCCTGAAAAACATCTCTGCATCCACTTTGTTATGTGGAGCCCCAGACAAGCAAGCAAGGTCAACACAAGTCAGAGTGAGATCAGGAGCATTAAAGCAGCATCACCATGGCAACTACCAATCCCATCTTCCCCATGGACGCGAACAGGTCATCGTTGTGGCCAAGCCAAAGTACAAGAGGAATGATTACAGGCCCCTGCGTGCCATCATGGAAGTACCATGCGATGGTGCGAACAAACACAGTCAGTGGAGGCAGAGAAAGAAGGCAGTCAGAAACTCTGCAGCCAAAACATACCCCACCTCTGGGGGGCAGCAACGTGGCCCGTACTCCAGCGTTGCAGGAAGTGATTCAGAATATTCAGCCGAGTGCGTCTCACTCTTTCACTCCACCATTGTGGACACCAGCGAGGACGACAGGTCCAACTACACCACAAACTGCTTTGGGGACAGCGAGTCCAGTGAGGAGGAGTATGTGGAGGAGAACACCACAACGACGGACACTGAGGAGAGTGTTGGAGGAGGTCCTGGAGGGGGAGGGGCTGGTGGGACAGGTAGGCACCGGGGTCAGCTGAGGACGGCTCGGGTCACAGTAGGGAAACTGGAAATGGACCCAGCTCAGACTAAGACCTTTGTTAAGATTAAGGCGTCTTACAACTTGAAGAGGAAGATCCTCAGATTCAGGTCGGGTTCACTCAAACTCATGACCACAGTGTGACCGGACCAGAACCAGACCTGCTGGTTGTCTTTCTCAGTTACTTCTGTTGTACCTGAAACAAACCAAGTGGTAGAAAAACAGAGGTAAGACGAAGTTGGAAGGTACATACAACATGCCAAGCTACGGAAAGCATCAATTCAACACCTGACATTTCTATCATCTCCATCCTCTTCAGACTAATGGAAGAATCCAAACCATCTGAAATTCTGATGAAACTTCCTTTCTAAACTTCTTCTTTTGTTGTTATAAAAAACGTAGCTGGCAAACATTTAAACATATTAAATCTAGGTTTCTAAATTTACAATATGACATGGTCGACATTTTGACAAATGGTACTAAAATGTTCTGAAGTCCAGAGACTAAAGAAGCCTTACTTAGAAATGCAGGTCAGCTAAACTGAACCCAGTTGAAACCATGTATTTACACAAACAGATCACATTCTGCAACATTTTGGCATATTCCCAACAAAGCAAACATAGATGTGGTGGTTTTTGGTGGTTTGATGTTAATGAATGAATCACCATGCACATCTCATTCTTCTTTCACAGATCTTTCAATGTTGCCATTTGACTTGAAATGCAATTTAAGAATGTCTTTTCAACATACCCATCAAAATTTCATAAATATGTTTATTAGTTCCTATTTGTTTATACTGGAAAGCATAACTGAAAGAAAACCTGAAAAACATATTTGCATCCAAATTGTATCTAATTTGGCCAGATCCTTAGGGTTATTGTCCATCTGGAAAACCCATCAGTGCCTTCTTTATCCCAATGTATCGATGGTCACCACGGCCACATGCATTGATTTCAGTCTCATCAGACCACAGCACGTCTCCAATGACTGAGCTGTTTATCTCAGAGTTTACTGACAAGCTGTCATCACATTTTCACATTACTTTTGGACTAATGGCTCCTCCCTCCCTGAGTGTCCTGTCTGTCAGTACAGAACTCATCTCAGTGTGGATGTTGACACTCAGCATTGTGTCCAGCTTCAGCAGCTTCACAAGGTTCAGAAAACTTCTGGGGTTGATTTGTGCATCTTGCATGCAAAACCTTTCACCTCTTTGACACAGGAGCAGGTTGGACATTCTCATGCCGTTTATTCTCACACATAATTGTTTGAGCAGCTGAACGTAGAACAGTCACTTCATTTTCTCGGTGCAGGTCAAGTCAGGTAACTGCAGATGTTTTCTCTATGTGTGTGTGTGTGTCGGGTGTGTGTGTGTGTGTGTGTGTGTGTGTGTGTGTGTGTGTGTGTGTGTGTGTGTGTGTGTGTGTGTGTGTGGACAGGAAGCTGGCGTAATGCAAGTATTATCCTGAACATAGAAAGGGAGGCCATTCTGGCTTCAGGGGTTGTGAGCGCTATTCAATTTCTTGTGTTTTTATTTTAATTTTTTCCGTCTTGAAGCCTGGTGGTAAAATATGAAACGTTCTGCCGTGTCCAGTGTTACAAATTCATCACCAAGATTCTTGGGCTTTTTAAAAGCAACGCAGCTTGGGAGTAAAGAAATTTCTTAAAGGTTTGTTTTGAAGCAACTTTATTTGCTAAACTTGTTACTTTCTGCTCGTGCATTAGCTGCATTTGGCTCCAGGCCTGAGGTCCAGTTTTGTAAAAGCAATGTGTTTTTTTTTTTTTTTATATCCTGCACTTTGAAGTAAGCCATCAGTGGACAGGACATGCTGTTAACATGTTTGCTCATCGCCATGTTTTGTATTCCTTATTCACTGAGCGTTTCTGTTTGGCTCACATTTCTGTAATTGTATTTTTTACAGCTATGCTGTTTCCACATATTTTTAAAGCTATTTATGCCTAATATATTTGCTGTAAAAAAAAAAACCAACTCATTGTTGACTGAAAGCCATTAAATGTAGAGACCAGCTCTGTTATTACTGCATTGAACACAGATGAAACTGAAAATGATAAAGGATGTGAACGTCTAGGGAAAGATTCCACTTCCTGTGATGACTGAACTCCGTTCTTACTCTTATTGTTTATTAGTGACGTAACAACTGTCTTTGCCTTTAGTATGTCTATAGTTTTGGACATGGGTTGTGAAATGGCAATACATAAATCAACCAAACTGAATCAAACTACCAGCTTGGCAGTGGGATGAGGGGTAAACCAGCCTGAACCATAAGCAAACTAAGCTCCTGGTTAGGGCCCCTAATTCATGAGAGAGCCTTAAAAATGCTTAATTTTCCCAGAGATCAGATCAAATCTACAAAATTCTTATTAGTTTATTGAGAATAAGTATGTAATTAAATTTTACCCAGTATTACAGAATAGATAAAAGCTTCAAAATTGCTTAAAATTTGCAGTTTTGCAGGTACAAAAAACTCAGTTTGATGGAAGATGGCCCCTACATAAAGTTGAGTTTCAGGCCTCATACAGATTTGGACCGGCCCTGAACTGGATTTAGCCTCACCGTCAGGGTCTACATGCCTTTTTTAAAAAAGAAATTAAAAGCCAGGATTGCTCTTACTAACGTCACAAGCTGCCTTTCTGTTTCAAGTTTTCTTTGCTGAAATTTTTTTCTGGCGTTTGAAGTTATTTGTATTTAAATGTCGAGCCAGGAAAGAAACCTTCAGGCAGTAGCTGGTTGTAGGAATGTTTCTCCACCAACTTCATGCATCACAGCTGGAGGAACGAACGACTGTTACCAATATATGTGTATTTAATGTACATGTACGCCAATAATGGTGCTTGACCCTTTATTAAATGTGGATTTCACAATTGTGTGTGAGTGTGTGTGGCACTCTTTCTGATGTCTTTGGAGTTCAGCTGAGACCGATGCATACTGCACACTGCACCTTAATAATCTAACAACGGTTGTGTGTTTCCTATACTTTTTGATGAAATCTGATTTCATACGATGATTTCAGTGTCTCATACTCCAGTTGCAGGAAATTCTGAGGCTTTTTAATACTTTCTGTCTGGCTTCATTTTCCAAGAGATGACTGATACCTATAATTACAGAGACCACAATTGATGAGACAGATGTTCATACAGTTCAGTAAGAGTTCAGCTCATCCCACTTCACCACAGAGCACATTTTGTTTGGAAAGAAGAGGTGGATAAAAGGCTGTGGGAACAAAATGAATCTGTTCAATTCAATTATTTTATTTTAGGTGTTGAGATCCAGTTAGTCAGTGTGGGGCGCAGCGCTGCTCAGCACCTCATCACCATTATGTCACAGTCAGCCCAGCGGCAGCAGTGCTGCCCCGGGCCGGGCAGACCCAGATGGCAGCAAAGGTTCTGCAATTCACCCAAAGAACTGACAAATGCTACTTTTTGTTCTACATGCAAAACGCTACTTGTGACCAAACCCAGACACTGCAGATCAATCTGGAAAAGAAAAAAAGAATTGGCATTGAACCATGGTGGTAGCAGTATCATGCTATGGGAATGCGTCTCTGCAGCGGGGAAGGAAGATGGAGTTAAACACAGAGGAGGGAGAAAACTAAAGACCTGAAACTGAGGTGGAGGTTTCCCTTCTACCTGGACAACTCCAAACATGTACAGCCAGAGTCACAATGGAATGGTTTAGACAAAGAGTTAGAATGGCCAAGTCAAAGTCCAACTCTAAATCCAAATGAGAATCTATGACAGGATACAAAAGCAGAAGTTTCTATTTGTTCTCCAGCCAGTCTGACTTTGGTAAAGACTTCCACTCTGTGGATGTGGAAATCTTTTAGAGACAAACCCAATAAAACCTTCAGCTGGAAATAAAGCAGAAGGTTGATCTGCATTTACCCAGGAGGCTGAACGCAACCTCACATTCTCCTAAACTTCATTTGTAAAACAGAAAATGTAATACTTTTCCGTCATAATTAAGCCCCAGTTTGCGATAATCTATCACACACAATCCAACTGAAATCTGGTCGCAACGTGAAGAAACTGAAATAACTCAATATGTGTCAATAGTTTTGCAAAGCGCCAGAAAACTTTACCTCTACAAAAGCTAGATCAGCAAGAGGTAAGGCTGATACCAAATAAGGAGGCGAGTAGATGACTGCAGCCTGCTGCTTTTGTCCTGCCTCCTACATGCTTTAACATGACATCATCCTTCCAAACACCAAGAAATAAAATCCATCTGATGTGATGGATCCACTCCACAGATCTGAGGAGCCTGCAAAGCTGCTTCACATCAGACAAAACACAGAATAGATCCTTTTTTTTTTTACATATTTTTTATTATTACCAAATGAATTGAGAATAAATAGAAATAAGACGCCAACTGTTTGTGTTATTTAAACATTTTGTTTAAAAGGTAAAGAATTACAAAGGGTCAAGTGAACATTGAGACAACTGCAGGCCTGCTGTGTTCTTCTTTCTTTCTTTTTTTTTCTGTGCAGTTGAAGAAAGAAAAAACGGAATCTTCAAGCACACACACACACGCGCGCACACACACACACACACACACACACACACACACACACACACACACACAGGCTGTCAGCTCGGGGATAAAGGGAATAAATCATAGTTGTGTTACAGGAAACACTGAAAATCCTTGAGAGTGCCCTTCAACACTTCACATAAACACCAACCTATGCTCACACACACACGCACACACGCACGCACGCACACACACACACACACATACACACACTGCAGCACTTCCTTTATCTCCTGCAGCACCTTCAGACCCACATTCCCCACTTTGCTGGTGTTAACGGGTCAGACCAGAATCTCTCTCTAGTCGTCTCCTGCGATCATTAACGTATCAGGAAGAGTTTTTATGTTTTAGACAGAAATAAAGCAGAATCAGTGAAAGCAACTCCATGTTTATGTGCGTGTAATTCAATAGGATGTTTTCTGTTCCATAGCTTGTTGTGAGTTGTGTTTAGAATCAAAATGGCTGATTGATTTCCTGGATAGAATCACCTCCTGCTGTCATTCCAACCTGCAGCATGTCTTCTAGTTTTCTTCACTTCACCTCTAATTGCACTAAAAAAGTCAAGCAGTGCAGTTTAGAGAGAAAACAAAAAATGTAACATCATTTGATGTGACTATGACTCATGCCTGAATGGGCTGACAACAACTGAAGTCTTTGTGTTTTCTGAAAGTCTTTAGCAAAGAGAATTTTTAATAAAAAAAAAAAAAAGAAAAAAGAAAAAAAGAAACTAAGAAAATGTCCACACCACCCCAACTCTCCTTGTAACCATAGTTACTGTGTCTCTCACTGCCGCCTACGCAGTGGACAAAGGATACAACACTGGAGGATTGCTGCTGACCTGACGGCTGCAAGCAACATTTATTGATATAAATCACAGAGCAACAGCGCTGTTCACATATTGTGGTTTCTGTCTGACTGCAGGACCTCAGGGCTGATGCCTCTGCAGCTGTTTACCATCAGACTCCACTTTAGTGTCACAAAGTTCAGTGCTTTTCAACGTACAAAGACATTTTGTATTAATCAGTCAATCAATCAGTCGAGTTTGTTTATATGGAGCATTTCAGCAACGAGGCAGTTTAAAGTGCTCTACATCATGACAGCATGAAAACATCATGAACACACTCAACTATTGTAAAGTCAGGAACAGAATTTCAGAATTTTGACGTCTATTTTCTCAGTAAAGGACTGCAGAACTGGGTGGTGTAGAACTCAGTGATATTCTCTATCTTTGTTATAGTCAGAACACCAGCAGCAGTGTTTTGGATAAGCTGATTGATTTTCTAGGCAGAAAGATCTATGAAGACACTATTGCAGCAGCAAACTATAAAAATGTTATTATAGGTAAACGCATGAGCTTCTCTAGATCTCGATGCTGTTCTCTGCTGAAGGCATTTCAAACTTTAATAGAGCCAAAAGTCATTGTGTAACAAACAAAAAGAAAATCATTTAAACAGGAGTTCAATCAAATGAGACAGTGTGTGTATGTGTGTGAGAGCCGTGATGCTGCAGTCCCTGCCTTGGAATCTCTCCCAAATGTGAATTAATTTAGCCTTATAAACATCTTAAGGCCACAGTTATCTCTGTTGCTTGTGTCTTTTGTTTCATCCATTTTCCCTCCACTTTCCATTCTGCATATTCTATGAGCAGGCAGTTTATTTTGCAATGACCTTTTGTGGCTTACACTTGTTTTTTATGGCAATCAGCAATCAAAGAGGCCAACATCAACTGTGATGGAGAGTGAATTAAAAAAACTTTATCAATCAGTTTGATCTGTTTCAGTCAGTAAATATTTTCTGGAAAGACATAAATTTACTACCTTATTTTGGGAAGCAGAATTACTTATTTCAACACAATCAATTATTATTTTTATCCATCTTTCCTCAAAGGAATGAATAATTATTCCATTTCACATATTAAAAATCCTTTTTACGTGGTAATATTCAAATTTCCGGAAAACAAGAATGAAACAAAACAAGAGTTCATATGATACATGACTTCACTTTGCGAACAAATTGACTGAAATAGTGAAGCGTCATTCCGTTTTGTTGAAGCACATCCAGATGGTAGTTGTGCTGATCGGTTGCTTGCCTGCAGGGGGCAGTCGTGTATCCGGCAGCACCTCCGCTGCTCGCGCGGTCGCAGAGGAAGAAGCAGCTGCTCTCTGCTCCTCGCTCGGTGAACGTTCATTCTTTGCGGGGAAGATGGCGGACCTAGAAGGTGAGTGTCCAACACATTCTGTGGGGCCGGGGCAGCTTTTACTCCTTCTCTCGGTCTAATAACGAAGTTTTAACGCCTCCCCTTAACGCGGGGTTTTATTGCCAGTAAAGCGTCTCTCTGTGTAGTTTAACTGCTTCTATTGTAGCGAGTAAAAGCGAGTTTGGGAATTTGGTCAGAGGTGCAGCTCAGATTAACAGCCATTCTGCAAAACATATCTCATCCAAACCTCGGTATTTAGACCAGCGTCTGTGACCTAACAGCGTGGCGTCTTTTATTCATCGGGATTTGGGCGCGTGAACCGTTAATGCGTGGAACAGGAAACACGTGGTGAGTCGTTTTGATCAAAACGACGTGAAAACTAACCATATGAAATTAATTGCATTTCTGTTTTGAAGGTGAAATCGTTCTTTTCATGTAGTTTGGTCTGTTGCGTTATTGACCTGTGAAATACAAACTAGATCAGCTTTAAAATAAACCAGAGCTGTGGAAACGACGTTAAAGAAGCAGCAACTCCTCCACTGTGGGGTTGCATGTTCAGTGGCCTGTTAGCTGGGAGCGTTAGCCACCACGTGTTGCGCAGCACGCGGAGACACCACGTGGGCCTCCGCTTAGAACCCACGAAGAAGAAGCTGAAGTCATTTGAAGGATCACTAAACTGCTCACAGTTACTGCATTTCATTCATCAGTGACTAAAGATTGAAGTTCATCAATTTCAATTATAACAATATGAGCCGTTTTAAAAAATATTTTCCAATGTTACTAATTGAAATTCGTCAGGTCTTAATGAATGTGAATAAACGGATCCCTGGCCGATGACTTCTTTTCAGTATTTCTTTTAACCAGATTTTCTGTTTTGTTTTTTGTTTTTTTTAGCTTCAGCGAAGAAAAAGAAGAAGTCGAAGAAAGTTTCGGAAGAATTTGTTGGGGTTTGTGGAAAAACTTGACTTGAAGCTGAACGTTTTCGGAGCCCCTCCCCTGACTGTTTCTGAACAGCCTGCTTGTGTTTCCTAGGAGATCCAGCAGAGTGGAGACTTCTTCATCCAGCCAGAGTCCATCGCTCCGTCCCTAGACACGTCACAGTGGCCCCTCCTACTGAAGGTCAGGCCCCAGGTGTTCCTGC